AAAACCGCCCAAGCGGACAACACCATGACAGCCCAAAACCGACCAAACAGACAATTTCGTGACAACCCAAAACCACCCAAGCGGACAACACCATGACACCCCAAACGACGAAGCGGACAACACTGTGACAACCCAACACCGCCCAAGCGGACAACACCGTGACAGCCCAAAACCGACCAAGCGGACAAGACCGTGACAACCCAAAACCACCCAAGCGGACCAAGCGGACAACACTATGACAACCCAAAATCAACCAAGCGGACAACACCGTGACAGCCCAAAACCACCCAAGCGGATCAGGCGAACAAATTGTGATAGCCCAAAACCGACCAAGCAGACAATACCGTGACAACCCGAAACCGCCTAAGCGGACCAAGCGGACAACACCGTGACAACCCAAAACCGACCAAGCGGACAGCACCGTGACAGCCCAAAACCGCCCAAGCAGACAACACCGTGACAGCCCAAAACCGACCAAGCGGACAACACCATGACAACCCAAAACCACCCAAGCGGACCAAACGGACAATACCACAACAACCCAAAACCGACCAAACAGACAACACCATGACAACCCAGCAGACCAAGCGGACAACACCATAACAACCCAAAATCGACCAAGCAGACAACACCGTGACAGCCCAAAACCGCCCAAGCGGACAACACGGTGACAACGAACATCCGACCAAACAGACAACACCGTGACAACCCAAAACAAACGGACAACACCATGACGGCCCAAAACCGACCAAGCGGACAGCACCGTGACAACCCAAAACCGCCCAAGCGGACAACACCGCGACAGCCCAAAGCCGCCCAAGCGGACAACACCGTGACAGCCCAAAACCGACCAAGCGGACAACACCGTGACAGCCCAAAACCGCCCAAGCGGACAACACCGTGACAGCCGAAAACCGACCAAGCGGACAGCACCGTGACAGCCCAAAACCGCCCAAGCGGACCAAGCGGACAACACCGTGACAGCCCAAAACCGACCAAGCGGACAGCACCGTGACAGCCCAAAACCGCCCAAGCGGACAACACCGTGACAGCCCAGAACCGACCAAGCGGACAGCACCGTGACAGCCCAAAACCGCCCAAGCGGACCAAGCGGACAACGCCGTGACAGCCCAAAACCGACCAAGCGGACAACACCGTGACAGCCAAAAACCACCCAAGCGGACCAAGCGGACAACGCCGTGACAGCCCAAGGAAAGCCCAAACCTCAATCCGGACAATTCCTAAAATTCCGGGAATTTTCAGCTCCGGGGAATTCCCAAAATTCCCGGGATTTTTAGACAATAAGCGTTAAAATTCCCGGAATTTTCAGGATCCCCCTGCAAGGCCCTCACAAGCAGCCAAATGGACCGGAAGAGGAGGCGGGGCATCCGACAGGGCGGCCGCAGAGCGAAAATAGGGGTCGAGCCCGTATAACCTTAAATCGCCCAAGCGGACCAAACAAATATAACCGTGGCAATCCAAAATCGATCAAACAGATAACACCATAACAACCCAAAATCACCCAAGCGGACCAAACAAACAATACCATAATAACAACCCAAAATTGACCAAACAGACAACACCATGACAACCCAAAACCAAGACAACACCATAACAACCCAAAACCGACCAAACAAACAACACCATGACAACCCAAAATCACCCAAGCGGACAACACCGTGACAACGAACATCCGACCAAACGGACAACACCGTGACAACCCAAAACAAACGGACAACACCATGACGGCCCAAAACCGACCAAGCAGACAACACCATGACAACCCAAAAACGCCCATACAGACTAAGCGGACAACACCATGACAACCCAAAATCGCCCAAGCCGACAACACCGTGACAACCCAGGCGGACCAAGCGGACAACACTATGACAGCCCCAAACCGACCAAACAGACAACGCCATGACAACCCAAAACCACCCAAGCGGACCAAGCGGACAACACTATGACAACCCAAAACCGACCAAGCGGACAACACCGTGACAACCCAAAACCACCCAAGCGGACCAAGCGGACAACACTATGACAGCCCAAAACCGACCAAGCAGACAACACCATGACAACCCAAAATCGCCCAAGCGAACCAAGCGGACAACACCGGGACAACCCAAGACCGACCAAGCAGACAACACCATGAGAGCCCAAAACCGCCCAAGCGGACAACACCATGACAGCCCAAAATCGACGAAGCGGACAACACTGTGACAACCCAAAACCGCCCAAGCGGACAACACCGTGACAGCCCAAAACCGACCAAGCGGACAAGACCGTGACAACCTAAAACCACCCAAGCGGACCAAGCGGACAACACTATGACAGCCCAAAACCAACCAAGCGGACAACACCGTGACAGCTCAAAACCACCCAAGCGGATCAGGCGAAGAAATTGTCATAGCCCAAAACCGACCAAGCAGACAATACCGTGACAGCCCGAAACCGCCTAAGCGGACCAAGCGGACAACACCGTGACAACCCAAAACCGACCAAGCGGACAGCACCGTGACAGCCCAAAACCGCCCAAGCAGACAACACCGTGACAACCCAAAACAAACGGACAACACCATGACGGCCCAAAACCGACCAAGCGGACACCGTGACAACCCAAAACCGCCCAAGCGGACAACACCGCGACAGCCCAAAACCGCCCAAGCGGACCAAGCGGACAACACCGTGACAGCCCAAAACCGCCCGACAACACCGTGACAGCCGAAAACCGACCAAGCGGACAGCACCGTGACAGCCCAAAACCGCCCAAGCGGACCAAGCGGACAACACCGTGACAGCCCAAAACCGACCAAGCGGACAGCACCGTGACAGCCCAAAACCGCCCAAGCGGACAACACCGTGACAGCCCAAAACCGACCAAGCGGACAGCACCGTGACAGCCCAAAACCGCCCAAGCGGACCAAGCGGACAACGCCGTGACAGGCCAAAACCAACCAAGCGGACAACACCGTGACAGCCCAAAACCGCCCAAGCGGACCAAGCGGACAACGCCGTGACAGCCCAAGGAAAGCCTAAACCTCAATCCGGGTGATTCCTAAAATTCCGGGAATTTTCAGCTCCGGGTGATTCCCAAAATTCCCAGGATTTTTAGACAATAAGCGTTAAAATTCCCGGAATTTTCAGGATCCCCCTGCAAGGCCCTCACAAGCAGCCAAGTCGACCGGAAGAGGAGGCGGGGCATCCGACAGGTCGGCCGCAGAGCGAAAATAGGGGTCGAGCCCGTAGCCGTTTATAGGGATATTCATAATTATGAGATGGTTAATAATATTAATCCCCATTATAGTGGTAGAAATATTAATGGCCCATATATGAAATATAATATTTCAAGATTCTTTTGGTAACCATACGTTCGCTTGTTAATGTTTTATTGAAATTTAAATAATCTTCAAGACCAAAAAAACTCCAACAAATATTCATAATAAAAATTATTATGAATATTTGACAAAACGTTAGAACATCAAACTCCCCAGAAATCCCTGAAAAATGATGATGAAAAATGAATGAAAGGGATAGATATAATGAAATTTTAAGGTAAAAGGACTTAAATTTAGGAAAATTATGATGAAACCCCAGAAACCCCTAGCATAAAACGAGTGAGGGGGAGATAATGATGCAGAATGGATGAGATGATGATGATGAAAATGACGTGTGCGAATGTGTGATGAATAATGAAGATGATGAGGTGTTGACCCCAGAGGCCGGAGGCCTTAACCCCTGAAACCCCCTTTACACAATTCTTTCCACCCCCCCCACCACCCCCACACCCCCCACCCCCAACCCCCCCCACCCCCCCACCCCCCCACCCCCACCACCACCCCACCCCCCCCCCCCCACCCCCCCCCACCACCAAACCCCACCCCACCACCCCCCACCCTACAACCTGGACTGGGACTGCCTCCCTTTTTTTGCAGAAAACCCTCTTTTCCTCCTTTCCTGTCCTGGGGCCGGCCGAGGCGGCGCGCGCAAGCGTTTACAATTATATTGCTCTCCCCCCTACACAACATAGACAATCTAAGATTGAATCTTGTATCCAACCCCTCCATTCGAACAAATCAAGTATCAACTAATCCAAGCAAGTCGTAATATTTCGATTAATAATATCATTATTATTAGTATTGATATTTTATCTGTGGGATCCTGTGCTTTCTGCTTTCGCCATGTCTACACGAGCTTGCTGTGTTGATTCACATTCAGGCGAGCCATCAGCTTCTGCAACTTGGCATCCAGCCTTGGCTTTGGAGCCGCACTTGCACCACCATGCCAGAAACTCACAGCCAAACTCAGCTATTGACCTCCCTTTTAATTGGCAAGCGCTCCCTACTTTTGTTTGCGTTTAGAGCCTCGATGAACGGGTCTGAACAACGTTAACGGAACCAAGACAACACCCATGGGCTCAAAGGCTTTGCAGTCTGAAGTCTAGCACTTCAGGCGTCTTCAGGAACCAATTCAAGCTCACAAGGAGTATCTGCATGATTGCACTACTCCGTTGCTTCCCAAGCAACTGCCTCAAGGTTCAAGCGGAATTCTAAGCAAAGGTCTAGATCTTGTGTACAAGCAGCTGCTTGACATCATTTTGAAGAGCAAACGTATCGATCGCTCGGGCCGCCCCCTTGCATCCTCGGCTCGCAAGTTCGACATGTTCGACGCCAAACGTCAAAGATCGTGCTCGAACCCAACCAACATTCCTCGATCTCGGCAACATTCACCATTTGGGCAAGCATCTCATGATGCCGCTGATGAAGTCATCCAAGGTAACCTTGCAACGTGAAGCAACCAAGTCTGTAAACTTAGTTTGAAACGTGCCACCACGACCACACTTGTACATCTTGTAACAATTACAGCGCCGTTTGCCAGACTGGGTTCTTGCTGCGACAGCCGGTCTTATTTGACCCAGATCGCTGTACCCACTGCGCACTGACCACGAAGGAAGGCAGAGGCATCATTCAGGCAAAATGGCAGGCGTGTGGTTTCTCAGGGATGCAGTTGTCAGCAGCTACCACGGGAGTGCCCCGGCATGGTAAACAGCACCATCCAAGGATCACCCGACTTCCTAATCATCATCCCACCCCACCTCCCCCTGGCCGTTGTCCAGGAGGTGGAACAAAGCCGCACCCTCCTCAGCAACTCACTGACACACTTGATCATGGGCCTTTGCTTTTTGAGACCCAGGTATATGCTTCACCAGTTAGTCACAATGAAGTGTGCAAGATGGGCTCTTGTTCCAGCCGCCTCCTTGCTATGGATCTGGCCCAACAGGGCTAAGACCTAGACAGAATTTGTGAGCAAGATTCTTCACCATTTTAATCTAAGACTGAATGCCTTTTTGTTACTTTTTGTTGGTTCGACGTTTCGGATGAACCATTCATGAATGCTAGCTCTGACTGGAGCTAGTTTTTTCGGTGTGCATTTTCTATTTTTTGGCTTTCGGGCCTCTGGTACCGGGATATTGCTTTACAAGGCATGTGGTTTCTGACTATTCTTGGGATACTTCTTGGTTTCGGGGTGTCGTTTTAAGCGGGAAAGGGCTATACTCGAGGAAGAGAAGACTGTCTCCAACCCCTGCACGCTACAGTAAACACAATGCTCTCATGATGCGGTCTGTGTGAATATGCTTGGAGGCACGCGAATGTTTGCATGATGGGGTTGGAAAGGATTCATCTGTTCTGAAGCAAGCTTTGCACGGCTTAAAAGGGCGGCAGGCGGGGCGCGTGCCCCGCAAACACAGTGCTCGCATGATGAGTTTTTTGAAGCAAACGTACGCGGCTGAAATCTGAGGGGGGGTTGGGGGGGCGCAGCCCCTTGCCATTTGCAAGCACAATGCTCGCATGACGGGGCTTGGAAAGGATTCATATGTCTTGAAGCAAGCCTGCGGGTTGGGCTTTTTGCCGGGGGGGGGGGGGGGGCACATCGCCCCCCACATCCGCAAACACCATGCTCGCATGTTGGAGTCAGATGTTTTGAAGCAAGGAGGGGGGTAAAACTTATATTGTATTGCTTATATTGTATGGTTGCCCTGTTCGGAACAGATCTCAGAAAGAACACCTGAACAAGACGCGCCACGGGATTCTAACAGCACTGCGGCTGTAAACCCACAGAGTCTCTTGGAATCACAAAGCCGTGATTATAGCAGACTGAAGACACGAGCAAACCCGTAAGACCGTAACAAAGTGGCGCGCCAAGTGAGTCGGTAGGTAGCATGAGTAATCACATGTACCTGCTTATTTCTGCTACCTTTACATGGGCTGTAGGGTTTAAGGTAAGGGCTTCGGGCTTTAAGGAGTCAAGCTTGGAGCTTGAAGTTCAGAGATGTATCAAGATACCTGTTAACTTCAGCTTGCTAGGGCAAACCTGTGGACCTCTTACAACCGCAACAGTCACGAAACCAAACCCATAACCTGCGAAGGGGCATTGCGCTCCGCCTCCATGTCTTGCTGGCAAAGGCTCTTGCACATCAATCTCGAGCGTTGAGAAATATGCCTTGACTTTCCTTGGCTTTTGAGGGTAAGCGCCAGTGACAAGAAGTGAACAGAGTTTTTGTCTGACACGCTGTGCCATCCTGGTCTCCCTGTCCGCAACATGGTGGAGCCAAGGGAACAATTACGATCGTTGTCTGTAGCTTAGCCTTATATGACCCTTCAGAAACTCTGTAGACTTACATGGTCAGTTCTCAAAAATCTGGTCCATTTTCGGGTTCCCTAAACATTAGGGGCCGCCTTATAATAGTAACCGCAGAAGGGATGACCACATGGAGTTAAGCACAGCACCGAAGGCCGCGCTGCTGTGCTGAACTCCCCGTGACCTCAAACCAATGGACAAACTTTCCATCCGAGCAGCTGGTTTGCGAGAATTTCAGCCAACCGCTTCTCTGTGAGGATGCCTTGAGGCGCGGTTTTCGCGTGGCCATAAATGCTGGGCGCTGTTGAGTTGGCATGGATTCTCCCCGAGTGATTGATGTACAGCTGCAACGAATCGGAATCCCACCCTCCAATTTTTACGCATGGGCAAATTGCCAAGCAAGAATAAGAAAGGCACCTGCTTCGCGGCCCTCGTCATCGATGATGGCGTTGAACAAACCCTCCAACCTCCCAGTACACGTTAAGAAAACTCAAAAAAAACGCAGAGGTGGTATAACACATCGTGGCCTCTCCACGTACGCCGCTCTCTTCCGAAGCCTGTCCAAGACCAGATGCTGCGCATCATTGTTGGCCTGGTCAAGTGGCTCGGGCATAGCGACATAGCAAACAGGTCGTCAGCTGCATAACCCACGTGGACCATGTATCGAAACCCGGCTGATCTCGCATGGCCGTTGGAAACTGCATCATCATGACGCAATCTCAATCGCACTCCTTGCGCTAAATTTGAAGTGCTGGACCCTCGCCCTTAAACTTTAAACGAGCCTTACAGACAACAATCCAGCCTCGTCAAGCGTGTCTTTGAGAAAGATGGCTGATATCACACGGATGACGGCGAAGACAATAATTGTGACGTAAAGGAAATAGAAGATCACGTAAGCTTGACTCACTCTCTCGAGAATCGGTCTTACGTTCGTAGGCCAATTCCTCAGTTGACATTGGGAACCACAAGCCGCATGACTTCGTTGTTGGACTGTCCTTCCTTTCGGCATGAACAACAAATTTGATAGGAGCACCGAGACTCCCTGCAAATGTGATTTCATAAAGGGTGTACAGAGCGCGGTAAGTGGTGCCATACCGATTCCAGACCCATACACGGTCTTCCAGAAGCCTCGTTTCGTCTTTGATGAAGTCTTGCAGCAGGTTGCCCAAGATCAGAGCCCCCATGCCTTAGTTTGGAAACATATATGTGAACCAGTCGGTCTTCCAGCATTGGCGACAAGCACAAGGCTGGCACGTCGTTGGCATGGTAGAAAAGATCCAAGAATCACATGAAGACCGTCAAGAGCAACATGGACCAGCACAGCGAAGGCAAGCAACACTGGCAAGCCTGCATGGCGGCGTAAGCAACTCCAAATAGGCCCGACGCCCACCCCCCCCCCCCCCCCCCCCCCCCCCCCCCCCCCCCCCCCCCCCCCCCCCCCCCCCACCCCCTCCCCCCTCCCCCAACCCACCCCCCCCCCCACCCCCTCCCCAAACCTCCCGACCCCCTACCCCCCTACCCCCCCCCCCCCCCCCCCCCCCCACCCGAGCGAGATTGCAAAAGTCCATTACGTTACAAAAAGGGAGCAGGCATACACAAGACCCTAACATGACTACGAATCCTGGGCAACATCACAGGGATTCTCGAAACGCTGGTTGCAATTTGGCCAAAAACTCAAACCCTCACAGGGGTGGGGTGGGGGCAGTGGGACGTAGGGGAGGGGGGGAGGGTGTGCCAGAATAAGGGAATTTAGCGCCAAAACAACAACCAGAACAGTCATTTGACAACTGAAGAAGCCCTGGAAGGGGGAATACAAGCAGGTGTCAAAACAGAGCGAAACTAGGTAGGCGTTTCTTCCGCCGCCGTGGAAGGGTTGTATTATTTAGAAAAAAAGTGGGGCTTTGGCAACACACATGTCCGGGAAAAGTTTGTGATTTGCGCTTTGTGTTTTGCGTTCCCAGCGTTTGTCGTTCAGTTGGCCCACAAGGCCTGGTAGTGCGGAAAGTGCTGTAAATACCGAGAGTTTCCTTTCAAAAGCCCTGAAAACGCTGTACATTCCGAGGAGTCCGAAGCAGCCAGCAGCCCGCCCCGCCCTAGAAAGAGAAATGGCGAAAAATTGCAAAACCATCGATTACGGCGTGTGAAAAAACCATCCAAAAGTGCCGAAAGCATTGTAACTACCGAGGTTTCGGGAAACACCCCCCCCCCGCCCCCGCAAAAAAAAAAGAAAGAGTCAAACACCGAAATAGACGAAAACACTGCGAGTTGGGCGAACATCTCGAGCACTACGGACAAACACACCACCAAAAAGCACTGTAAATACCGAGGTTTCGGACTGCACGCAACACAAAACACAAGGGACGTAACCACCCCCCCCAGCAAGAATGCAGAACTCGACAACCCTGGAACGGAGGCGAAAGAAGCGTCTACCTGAAACTGCGAATCAGCTTATATCATTGGATGAGTTTCGGGTTTGCGGGTTTTGTTTGGCAGTTGGGGGGCTTTGGTTTGGGAGGTGAGGGGCTTTAGTTTGGGAGTTGCGGAGATCTTGTTGGAGGAAATTTTGTTTGGGATTTACTGTAAAGGGTATTGTTTGGTAGTTGAAGGGCTTTTGTTTGGGAATTGGGGGTCTTGTTTGGGAGATCAGGATTTTTAATTTGGCGAGTGAGGGCTTTTTTGATTGGGAGTAAGAGGGGGTTCTGTTTGGGAGTTGAGGTGTTTTGTTTGGAAGCTGAGGAGTTCTTGTTGGGGAATAGAGGGTGTTAGTTTGAGAGTTGAAGGGCTTTTGTTTGGAGTTCAGAGGTTTTAGGGTCTTCGTGTTCGGGAATTGAGGGCTCTTGTTTGGGAATTGAAGGGGTTTTTGTTTGTGAGTTGAGGAATTCTTGTTGGGGAGTTGAGGGTTTTCGTTTGGGAGTTGAGGGGCTTTTGTTTGGGGAGTTGAGGATTCTTGTTTGGGAGTTGAGGGTTTGTTTAGGAGTTGAAGGGTTCTGGGTTCTTGTTTGGGAGTTCGAGGGTTTTTTGTTTCCAAAAATCCTATGGAAACCCTAAGCCCTGTCCCTTAACCCATAAACCAAACACAAAAAGCCCGTGGACAGACACAAAGAAACAACCAACAAACTTGCGCCGAACATCCCCACCCTTCAGCTTTGGAATTTGTGGGCACTCCAAAGGTGCTCACCTGAAGTGTAGGAATCTTCTGGCAGTCCCCGCAAATTCAAGTCCGAACTCCAAGCACTACCTCAGAAACAGTAGCGCAACGCAAGGACGCAAGCCGGTCTGTACCGCGGGTCCCTCGTGGTAGGCGTCGGGGTCCCTCATGTCCCTCTGGCCGAGTACACCGGCCAAGGAGGTATCCCAAGAGGTGCCAACCCCGATATCCCCAAAATGGACCAAGGATTGTGTGTATCACCTGCCAATACCTGCCAACCATCTGCACAAAGACTTGGCAAACCAACATAACAAAAAGAAGTGTGAACCTCAACAGGTACATCCCTGTGCCGAACCCATGCAGGCCTTGACGAGCATACGGAGCCCCGGCGAGAATCTGAAGCTCCTGGCAAGTCAACGGAACACCACCCTTCATGCGAATGAGAACCTTCAGGTGGCGTGCTAGGCACTCGGAGCAGTCGCCTGACTGTTCCAGCTAAGGCATACTGTCAGATAACATAGGCAGGCAGCCATCGGTGCCTGGCCTCACCATTCGAATGGCCCGGAAAGCCTTCAGCGCCGAGACAAAGCGTAAGGTAACCTGCACTGAAGGCTCAGTCTTCATGGCGGCCTCTGACTTTTGTGCCAGGCACTACGCGTGCAAGGCATGGGGCACTGGCTCCGGGTACGGTTCTACGCAAGATACGCAAGACATCCCAAGTCTCACCTACATGTCGTGCAGTAAGCGATCCTCAAAGGGGCGAGAACAAGTTCAGGATCTGGCTGGCTGACAATTCTCCACACCCTTGGCGTGTTTAACTCAGCTGTTCTCCTTGCCCAGGCCTCCTATACTCTTTGAACAACTCACCTGGCCCGCGCCTCCCACCCCCACAGAACCGAGTGCCGTTGTTTGGCGTTTAATGCCCCAGATTGTTCCTGGAGAGCCCACATCCACAGAATTCCCGGAGTTCCCGACGGTATCCTGGAGTGCCAAACCCCAGAGAGATATCTTGTGATCTCATCGTGGAGCGTTCCGAGGTTTAGCTGTGGGGGACCTCGACCGTTCTTGGCCAGTCTGGCTGCGCCTCAGCAACCCGTCCTCCGAGTCCAAAGCCCATTGGAGGAAGTGGTATCAAATGACACAAAGCCAGCCCGACACCTTCAGTCCTACACTCCGCTTGAAGCTTCTGATAACAAATCTGTGCCCTTTGCTCAGGTCTACTGGCGACACTTGGCGACCAAGCCACCATGTCCTGATCCCCGGCAGCAGATGATGGAACCATCGTCCTGTGGGCGGCCAGTGCAGGGGGGCGCAGGAGAGAGTTAAGAAGCAAAGCATAAACCATAAACGCTATTCTGTGCCGTTAAGCGATATGCGGTGTCATGTATCGTATAAGAATTTTAACAGTTATTCTGGGCCGTTAAGCGATAATATGTATCGATAATTTCGTAGCAAGCTTCATCTAAGCCTGTGGAGAACCGAGACGGTGTAACGGTGTATGATGCTCGTATGGTTTAACGTTCTGGGGTTTCCTGGCAGTACATATTCGGTGAGGGCGGGGCGGTTAACTATAAGAGACTACGAGACTGTTCGAAAGGTGAAGGAATAGATCACATCGTGACATTCACCCATGCGAACGTAACAGAAGAGCAGTTTTAACGATTCAGAAGCTGATTGCAGACAGAGCATTAGTTGCTAACGGAGATGAAATGCGGGCGCGGTTTGCAAACATCCCGAAGCACCTCCCCCCTCCCCCAATGGTATGCTCCCATGGGGAGAGGGGGGGGGGGGGCCGCTCCCAAAGCCCTCAAGCCCTAAGCCCAAATCATACGTAAAAAACCGAAACCTTAAAACCCATAAGCCCGAACGCCCCAAGCCCTGAAACTCGAAGCCCGAAAACCCCAAACGCCAGAGCCCTAAACCGGAAGCCTTCAACCCTAACCCCTGGGGGGGCACCATATATGCATAAAAAACATATGTATACATATATATATATATGTATATGTATATATATATATGTATATACCTATATACAATGGTACGCAAAACAGAGTGTTAATCCTGGGCTACCGCATGCTGGAGTCCGACTTAAGGAGGTAACACAAAAGAGTAAGAACCCCTTTCTTTCTTAGAAGCTTCTGGGGGTTGAATTGGCTAACTTCGGCAAGCTGCAAGGAGAGGTCCACCAATCCACCTGCAACAAGGATGAAGTCCAGCCAGTTTGCAATATCCTCCAGGGTTTGGCTTCTTGATGCTTCTTGCGTGGCTTAACGTCTCAACTTCACGATGCTTCTTGCATGAGGCCTCTGAAGGTAATGACTAGATGTCACATTGCACCGTACTGAAGCAAAACGCCTACAAACCATCAGAAACCTGTAGCACCCCTCCACTCCACAGCGTCCTTCACGAACCTCGACCTTTCGAGGACGAGGCGAATGAGGAGCTCTGCTAGAAAAATGAAAACAAACACGCTGTCCATCACCTGGAAAATAGGCAGAAGATGGTCGAAATTTTGACGCTCGGCATGCACGCCCAGCTGGAAGGCAATCTGGCGACCCTCGATCTCCAGCTGCAGCATAAGCAAAACCGAATTCAGAAGCACCAAGGCTCCAGCAACATGATCCAGGTAAAATGCGACCTTTTCCATGCACACATCGACGCTCGAACGCTGGTTCAGCTTGCTATCTGAGGACTCCCTCAAGAGGTTGACGACCGTGTCATTCTGGCATTTGGTCGAGCGATCCTTCTTTTTCTTCTTCTTCTTCCGGCCGTTCGTCAAGGAATCCTTCCTGTTTGTCCCGTCCTGAGTAGCTCCAGCTACACTCAACACAACGGAGCGTAGCTAGACACTTGGTTGCAAAGGCTTGCAAGGCAAGTGGCCATGCTCGCGTCCGGCTCTGAAACCGGCTGCCCCGAGGACCATGCTGCAGACATTTCTGCAAGGTCAAGGGAGATCTCATGACCGCTTTGAAGCAATGGCAAGATTATCACTGCTTGGTGCACTTGTTAAAAAACACGCATGGTGCGCCTACCTTCAGAAAAAAAAACGTGCCAACCAAACAAGCAACAACAAATCAAACGGCACAACTAGCAATAACATTGGCCAGCAGATGCCAGCAGCAAGCCTTTCTGAAGGGAAACACATGAAGGCTTTAACCACCACATTGAACAAAACGACGCGTGCCGCCAAAACAAAGAACACCTGCGAAACGCGAGTGAAGTCGAGTGCAGAACACACAGCAACAACTCCACCTTCCGATGGCCATTCTCCTTAAGTACTACATGTGTGCACAAAAGATTCCATGGACTTAAGTACGGGCGGTTGCACAAGCCCATTAAAAATGCTGACTGATCAGCGAGACAGAACGTGCCTCTAGCTTTGCTTCCATATCATGTTTTCAATCGACCTGTTGATGATGGGCGATACAAGACCAGAATTCAACCACGACAAGATGCAGCAGGCCTGAAGCAGCGACATCAGATACATCTGAAGCCACAGAGCCATCGGAGATGTTTGAACCTTGCTTTCTGCGGTAGACAAACGGGACTGCTGTTAGCAGCGCGCGATGCATCTATTGCAACTAGAGTAATGTGCGTTTAACGACATCCACCGCCGAGCCTTTATACACAAGCTGCTTGCATGTCTGTGGTGAGAGCGAAAGCTTGAGAGCGATTCGGATTAGAAGGGCTTTCCATGAACCAAAACTTGGGAAGCATGGATTCTCTAAGACTGATTTTCCATGGGTCTCTGAACATCCGATGAATTCGTTGCTTCCTGCGACTGTCCTGCGGCTGTCTCAAACGAGCCGCGTACACCTAGCTGACCTAGCTGATTTCATTTTCTGTTGGGCTCTCGTGTTTGCCAGCCGACTTGTCTGAATATCAGGGGACAGGAAATCAACCAGCAGGCGCTTCAAAATTCGGCATCAAGGCTCGGATGAAGCAAGAAGCTTTGGGCTTAGTCCTTAGAAGCTAACAACTCCTTGGTGCACGCGCCCACTGTTGTCGCTACGCCGCTACATATAGGATGCACCCTCGGTTTCATGATGAAGAGACTAACACGAAAAACATGTGTTTCGCGCTAACGGCCCTGTGGTGACATGCCCAAAAAGTAACGGCAAGATGCTGGGTCGCAGAAAGAAAGAAGCAAGAAAGAGAGAGAGAGAGAGAGTGTGGTTTTTGGATACCAGCTGATCCTCAAACATGTTAACCGCATCCCCGATGTTGGCCCCAGTATGTCCACATAGCTGCTTGGCCAAAGCACCCTCTGAGTGGCTCGGGCTCACATCCTTACATGGACAGATCTTTGGGGCAGACAAGTGGCTCGGGCGCCGTTTCACAGATCAAAGGGTTGCGTGTACGGATGGTGCCGTGCTTGAAACTCTATGAACCCCAAGTCAAAGGCTTTCTTCGCCAGGTAGCGCACAAGGTCTGCAAGGCAAAAAACAACTCCTGTATTTCGAACACAATGTTACAAGAAAGTGCTGTGCTTCCATCATGAACCTGACATACAGACGTTGAACCCTTACAGGACAGCCTGGGGGATGCCGATTACACATGATCTTAAGCTGGTGTCCAGCGAATGAGCGAGTTCAATAAGTTGACACCGCTGGGCCGCTGGGGAGATGCCGGCACAAGTTTTGGGCTCTGCAACTAGAATCCTGAAATGGTTAACGGTTAGCATCGCTGCTGTGTGACAAGCAGCATCCTTTCCAGTCTCATATCAATGCATGCAAGTTGTGGTCACGTGCCTGTGCCTGCTCCTCTTCCACTTGCAGAGCTCCGTTCGCACGAGGTCGGCCATGCTTGGATTTACGCAGCCAAGCCCAACCGAGCGGGCAAGGAAACAAGATTTCGGCCCCAACCTGGCCACCAGAACTCGCCGCTAGCAGGATTCTATTGTCTGCGCTGTCGAAGAGCCACTGTAGCCCTTGTGTGTCTCTCGTGTCTCTTGTGGGCTTGTAGTCAGGTCCTCATGAAGCCGAGTCTCAGCTGCCGTCCGCGAGAAGCAGGGCGACTCCTGCAGGCACTCCGCATCACAGTCTTCAGCTGCCGAGCAATGTGGTTAATGTGTTGGCAGCGGATAGAAATTGCTGTCCCGCAAATGCATCTTCGCGAAGCAATCATTTCCTTTCGAGGAACTGTAGCGCACCTAATCACGGGCACCTTTGAACCCTAAAGTCTAAAGTCCTGGAGTTTGTTTCGTGTCTGCGGATGTGAGTTCTCAGTCTACATGGTTGAGCTTGGAGGAGGGTTGATGGATAAAACCCAGTCTGCAAGTATGGTTGTGGCTTGAGGGACGTGAGCCTAGGATTGAGTTCAGGGTTTGACGCGTCCAGGAGGGCTGGGTCCTTCCAGGGTGTAACACTTGCGTGGAAGTTCGCAAAGCTTTCACAAGTCTTGCGCTACATTGGGCTATAGAAAACGGATTTCTTAAGCCGGGCCAAATATTGACCGGTCGTCAAACTCGCCAAAGAACTTACTTTCGCACGCTGTTCGCGGATCTGTCGCAGACGCTCCAATGTCATGGAGAAATACATGTCGCGTACGAGGGCCTATAAAGGTCAACACAAAGCAAAAATGTATAGAATCACATACAGTATATATATAATATACAATACAATACACTACAATAAAAAAAAATATGATATAATGAAATAGAATGCAGTATACAACTTATACATAGTAAGTAAATATAAACAAATAAAATGAATAAATAAATAAACAAATAAATAAATGTATATGTATATGTATATGTATATGTATATGTATATGTATATGTATATGTATATGTATATGTATATGTATATGTATATGTATATGTATATGTATATGTATATGTATATGTATATGTATATGTATATGTATATGCATATGTATATGTATATGTATATGCATATGCATATTGTTATGTATATGTATATGTATAAGGTATAGGTATATGTATATGTATATGTATACGTTTTTGTATCTGTATATGTATATGCATATGTTTCTGTATGTAATCCCGGGTCTGCCTCCCCCCACCCCCCCCTTTACCCAGGTTCGCCATCTTTGTAAAACGTCATTCTTGGAGGCATCCCCTTTAGTAGTTTAGACAGTTTAGGCTACCAGGGGCTGGTTCTTTATTGTACTTCATGTTGGAAAATTGCCTCCAACATACGTACTACTTCCTTTAATTGAATAGAACGTCAAGGCTAGTACTCTTCATTCATTACTTCTGCCAAGTTAACGACCGCAGATTAACATGACTGAAGATCAGCTTGTAGCCGGAAGGTGATTAGAGATCTTCTCACGATGCTCGGGTTCGTGAGGCACGGTAGGCATGGCAGGGAATGCATCCTTACCATCTCCGTCAGGAGCGGGACTGTGGATTCTATCCAAAGTGCACACAGTCTTGCCAATCCACTTGAAACTGGTCTTCTTGTTCCGCTTCCTAACATTCTTCCAATCATCGTCCTCATTGATGACGTCAACACCACCTACGGGAATGATAGTTGTACTCCGTTGCTTAGAGATGCGCGACAATTCAATCGGACAATCAGTGATGTCCGGTGAAAAAATTTCTCTTCTGGGAACATAGTGATAGCGTATTAGCTTACACTCGTTCAATCGGACCTCCCAGTTCCGGCTGAACCTGCAGTTGGAGCCTCCATATCACGCAATGCTTGTTCGCGTGCCTCATCAACAATGGCCTTTTCTTTCTGTTTCTTGGACATGTTGACCCAAAGGTATGAGGGAATGGACTCAGGCTTCTTGGAACCTCTAGTGCCTCCATACTTCCTACCAAGAGTGCCCCCCGAATCATAGTATCGACCCCCTTCAGGAAGATCAATTTCCTTACCTGTCTTGGGATCAAACACCTTCTTGGGCGGCTCGACCTCTCGGTCTGCGGGTGCAGGCAGTTGCCCATCTGCGGCTTCTGCGTCCTGATTGGTGAGCGATTGACTGACAGGTCCTTCAGTGGCATCTGATGCGAGACCTGCTTGAACCCTTTCATACCTCTCACGCATGGGGAAGTCTATCTTACCATCAGTAAGCTTGTACTGCGATGCAATGACTGGCTTCAGACACTCGTGGAAATCATGCTTGTTCAACTGCTTGAGATGAATTGCAAAGACCTCCTTGCGCCATTTCATACCAGGCTGGAACTTGTATCCCATAAAGATCGCAGGCTCACTAGTAGGCTCGAATCTGTCTCTACCCTTGCGCTGAGCTTTCGGGCCAACCCAAACGTCAATCCTACAGCCAAAAGGAAGTGGGTCTTAGAAAACTCTCTCACCCTCAGCAGGGAACGCAACACCAAAACGCTTGAACCAAGGGGTGAATTCTTTGCCCCCCGGATTGCTGATGTTATAGGCAGTACACGCATGCTCAAGGGCAAACGGCCAGTAAGCATGCGAAATGCCAGCTTGAATGAGATTGGTGCGGGTGCCCTCAGTGGTGGCTCGCACAGCACGCTCAGCAACAGCATTGGACTGATGGACGTAAGCCTTGGAGAGCTCATGGCGCCAGCCGAGCGTTTTGGCAGCAGCCTCAAGTTCCCTACACTTATCACTGTAGAAAGTCTCCACATTGTCCTTTGCGGATGCGAAATGCTGGAGCGCCACGAGACACTCGTCTTCCGACATCAATGCAGCAGGATATGCATACATGAAACAAGTGGCAACATCCTTAACCAAGAGCAAGGCGCGAATCCTGAATGACCGTTTGCTTATCCCTATGCAAGATCAAATGATCTGCTGTCACGTGGTCGCCAAAGACCTTTGCCTCGATAGTACTGGTTTCCTTCTTGTAAGAAGGAGGCTTGTACATCTTAGCTCGTTGGCAGATTTGGCAGTAAGGGTTCTTAGGGACATGGGTCATGAGATGCTCACGCGAAGTTGCTTCTTTGATCAGAGCGTCTTTGCTCCGACTGCGAGCTCCTCGTTCAGGTGCCTCAGGGTCGTCAATTGATGCGGCTTCCCCATCGGGGGCATCGGCCACTGCCGGGGCAGGAGGACCAACGTCCGGTTCAGCACGCACCTCGTCAGAGGGCGGAGCAGGGCGAGAGCCATCGAGAATGGCCCGTACACGTGCTGCTCCTTCAGACCTGAGAAGACCGGAGTCTCGAACACCATCCCTGGGCTCGGATTTTGCTTTTGGTTCAGGCTTAGGCTTAGCTTTAAGTTTTACTGTAGGCTTGGTGCGATCCGGCAAAGGCCGGACAGGCGTGTCTTCCTCCATCAGTTCCCTGAGAGTCCTTTCGTCAGGATCATGGGCAGGCGCCGGCACAATAGGAACCTTCTTGCGAGGAATGACAAACCCACAACCTCGAAGCTTCGCAACGTCCTGATCATTCAGTTGATGAACTGACCTACAGGTGTAGGCAGTAATGCTCCAACGTTCACCCTTCCAAGGCCTCACGGAATGACTTGTCTTCGGGTCGAAAACAACAATCTTGTCGTGACTGTCATGGACCATCCCTGGGAGTTTGGTGCCTACGGAATCCTTGACGTCTAGGTGATTTTTATTGGTTTTCATAGCGTTAGGGTCATGAATCCAAAGGCCACCATCGGAAAACTCTCCCACTGCAATCGTGACGTTGAGATGATCTTTGTGATTGTTCACATCCTTGTGGACCTTGATGGGCGAGTTCTGATTGATGCAAATGGAAGAACAGCTCTCAAACTCTGCGCCTCTCTTGCGAAGAAATGCGATGAGATACTTGATGGTGTTAACGTGGCGTTCAGTTCTCTTGGTCACACCATGAAACCCTCCATGCGCAAAAGCACCAAGGATCACATACTTCTCATCTTTGCCACTACCATGCTTCTCGCCTAGTGCCTTTCTTCTACTCCTACCTGCTCCGAAATTGACGGTGCGCATCGCTCCGAGAAGTCGCGCTTCTCCAGGAGTTGCAAAGCAATCTCTTCAGAGTTGCGATCAGGCATTGTACCTCTGACAACCGGCTGACTTTCATCAGCGTCGCGCTCACGTGCAGGGCAGGCAGTGCCCTCCTTCCATGATTTGAGGAAAGGCACATTGTCTCGAACATCAAGGAAAACTCTCTCACCCTCAGGAGTCTTCAAGTAGGGGCGAGTGCAGGCTCTCCAAATGAAATCGAAACCTTGCTCCATGCAACGCTGTCCTATGGAGAGGACTGAAGGAGTGTCAGGTAGCACATAAGGCTTGGCAGAAATCACATTGCTTGTCGGCAGAGCTGGGACCGTTCGCGGTCATGATGTTGATCGGCTGTTCAGACTCATAAGCCTTCAAATGCTGAAGATCCCTCTCAGCGATCAGGTCCTGCGCACTCCCTGTGTCGCCAATCCATTCAATGTTGAGCATCTTAGAAGATCCTTTAGTCTTAGCAGGACACGACATTCTAAGACCCTTCGGAATGCAATGCGTGATTACATCCAATCTCTGAGTCACACTCCCAGCGACAGGCCGGGATGTCGTCCTTGGTCGAGATGGAAGCTTTCAGCGTCTTTGCTGACATCTGGGCCTCTCGAGTGGAGTCTGCTCTGACTTCGGGGACAAAATCCAAAGGCTTTTCCCCTCGATGCCTTCTGCTGGTGGGCGATACAGGAGTGAACCTAGCATTGGGATCGCTAACAGGAATGTTGATGTAATCGACTTCAGAGCTGAAATTTACCGCTGGTAGCGCCAGACTATAGGGATACGTGCAATTGGTGATCTGGTCCGTCCACTCCTTCCGGAGAGAGAAAGCATCGGCTTGGGTGGCCGAACCAGCAACAAGAGCACTGAGGAGACATACAGCAGCAGGGATACCGCCTGAAGGCTTCTTTCTGCCTGAGCCCTTCGAGTTCTTGGAGCCTTGACTTCCCTTGGAATTCTTGCTGCCCTTAGAACCCTTGGAGCTTCCCATTACCTTTTGACCCCTTCCCACTTGTCTCGGAAGGCGCAGCTGCACCTGGCTTGCCTGTGTGGAGGAAATTGCAATTCCCCCCCCGATCGCAACGTCCTTGCTTGAAGAACTTACAGATCCTAGGCTTACCACCGGGGCTCGCAGAGCTTGCTCGAGAGCCTGCCGGCGTGGCAGAGCGGCCGCGTCCCTTGGACGGAGTCTGGTGCTTGTACTTACATTGGTCACCCTTGGTACAGGAACCATTGCGGACCCATGAAATGCAAAAACCTTTAGGAACCCTCTTAGGTGCAGGTGCAGTGGGCACTGCAGGACTGCCCGTCTGACGAGCCATCCGTTCCCGGTTGCGTTCCAGGCGCTTCCTGTTGAGGTGCGCAGCCATTGCTGCAGACAACGGATACGAAGAAACGTACGGAAAACTTCGCTGTGTAAGTGGTACCTCCACGCACTATCGAAAACTTCTTGAACGGCTCGTCCAGGCCAAGCAACAAGGCTCTTAACCTGTGCGAAGTGTCCAAATCAAAGAAAACTTGCGCAACCCACTCCAGTAACTAGCTCAGGCCACACGAGGAAAAAGAAGTTGAGTATAAACAGTTGTAAGTTGTTATGTTGCACCAGTAATAGCAGTATCCCTGCCAACGGGGAACACGAGGTAGCTAACCAGGTATTCCTATGCCACTCCCGACGACGTCTATCGGAAGGATCCCTAGAGTTGCTAGCTCCAGGGGGTTGATGACCTATCCACCAGATGTATCCGCTAGCCGTCCGGCCACACGTTGTACACCTAATAAGATATCCACCTGAACACTCACCTATACCCAGTGTCCTCTAGCCGTCCGGTTGCGAGTTGCAAAGGATCTAGGAAAGTATCCCAAAGGTTAGGGTAAGGGAACTATCCCACAGAGACCGGTCCTTTTACGTTCCTCTGGCCGTCCGACTCCGAGTTGACGGTCAAGAACCAGGCTATCTGCAAAATATCCCAGGGGCACGAAAGGAATCTGTACACAACTACTTAAGAAGGGCCCTTCTCGAGCAGCTAATAGCTGCGGAAGAACATGGGATCTTCCTCTATCCCAGGCTTGTCCACGATGAAGATCTCCCCTATCCCAGGCCCAGCCCGAAATCATAATTCCTCTCAACTATGCACCCTGGCAAATCTAACTGACCTCTTTGTGCTAAACAGTTCTGAAGCGCCAATCTAGCTAAGTTCTCTGGGCTTAGCGGTAATACCTCACCCTCCCGGGGAGGGCCATTTGCAGCTGCTGAAGGTTCCCCGACAACAGGGTTGCTAAGCAGTGACATGGTTTCATCCTCCGCGGGTACGGGGATTGCTGCAGCATTTCCGGGAGATTGTCCTTCCATGACTATGGCCAGTTGGTTCAGAGTCTACGGCTGATAACCTATTGTTACCAGCGGACAGCCCTAAACACATCAGTTACAGTGCAGCGCACTTTTTGTCTTGAGCCAATGAAGTAGCGTAAATGGTGTAATACAGCTGATATCTTTGAGTATCGACAATGGCATGTTGAATATGGCATTGAAGGTGGCCTGAAGACAGGTTGTGGGAATGAAGGTAACCTCGAATGAGGGGCGGGCTACCATGTGCGACCGCGGTTCCCGGTTCGCCGGTCCCGCATTCCCCGCAACCCCCCTTCACGCTAAGCCCCAAACCACAAACCTTAACCCTGATCATATGTCAGTATGTATGGATGCATGCATGCATGCATGCATGCATGCAAGTATTTGTGTATTTGCGCATGTACAGATAGTTCGATAGATAGATAGATAGGTAGATAGATAGATATGTATATATATATATATATTATATTGCACCTTTGCTGTGCATTTGGCCAGAGGCGGCATCGTGCACCTACGGGGCGCCCAGCGGAGCCCCACCTACCCAGAGGCCCTCCCTGCCTCGGGAAAGGCTGGGTCTTCCGAGGCGAACTTGGGCTGGAGAGTGGGTGCAGGACCAAGGCAGATGTGAAGCTGGCGGTGCTTGCCACCTGGCATTGATGCATTTGCCGGCATGTTCTGGCAACAGAAAAATGTGTTAAAACTTTGCAGTGCCAGTGATGCTCTCAGAGTTGCCGTGCCTGGGGCTTGAACACCTTTCTGGACATTCAAAGCTTCGAGTTGATCCTTGGAAGCCATCACGACCGATTTGTCCACGCAACCCTTGCTTATCTGCACTTTCGCTTGATGATGACTTGCCATGATGACATCGTGTCGCTACAGTGTTTATCTCTCCACCGGCCCCAGTGGCAGCCGGGGCGGCGTCAGTCCTCCTCACCCTTTGAAGGGCTCATCGGCTCATGGAAGACACTTCAACAGCTCCCTGCAGCCAACCAACCGTCCCCCCCACCCCCCCAAGTATCCCACAGCCCCACTGGGCCCTCGCTCCAAGCAACCAGCCGAGAGGCTCCAGTACCGCCCTCTCCCTCAAGCCGGCAGCCAATCCTCGTCCAAAGGTACCGCTGGCTCCGGCCGCGGTTCCCACGTGCATTGATTCCCAAAACCCTACCCAAAGCCCGAAGCCCAAACAGGGAACGCCCCCTTTTTTGGCGTAGCCGGTGGGCGACTTTTAGGCTTTTTGGTAAAACTGCCACGCGTTCTTTTTTTGCTGTGTCGCCTCGGGACCCCAGGGGCGACTTCGGAACAAAACGAAACAACGCGCCTGGCCCCCAGGTCGGCTACGGAACAAAAGCCAAACAAGCCTCAAAGTAGCCGGTCTGTATCGGCGTAAAAGAGAGTTTCAGTTATTTGGCAAGAAGCCACTACAAGAACAAAGTGGGACTAACAATCCGTGGCCGAAGCCAACGGTGGGTTTTGGGGGGGGGTGGGCTTAGCAACTTAGTTTACACCCTAAACTGAACATTAAACCCTAAACCCAAGCCGAGTGCCCTAGTGACGTCGATGAACTAGGGTTTAGGGTCTAGGGCTTAATCAAGTTTAGGACTTCCAACCTGTAGCAAAAACGGTACACTTTCGATCCGACGGGTTTGTGCGCATGTGTGTAGCGCATCGGTGGCTTCGACGACCGCCATTACATGCATCCTTAAGATTTAAATGGCACCCTTCCCTTTAAAGGTGCGCGCCTCGCTGCTTATCCACTGGGCCGCGGCTTCACCGAGCGGCGTACCAGACCGAAGCCATTTAATATATTTGATTCAAGTTTTGAGGAGAGCATCAGCGGCTTTGGCCCGCGGCCCCAAGGCAGTCAACAACGTTCAAAAACGCTGCAACCGCTGCAATTCCGTGCCTTTATGAGGTTCCAACCCCTACCCTTGTTGCCCTTGTCCCGCCCCAAAGTGAGCATCATCCAAACCCCTCCCTGTCCGGGAAGGGGGTCTGCTGATGTTGCTGATGCGCGGACGCGGTTTCCCGGGACCTTCGGGCCGCGGCCCGAAGATTGAGCTGATGCTCATGCTGCTGTCCGGGAAGGTGCCCCGGGACTGTAAACTTCGGAAAAATACAAGTACCCACTAGAGAACGGTTGTCCCGCAAGCATTTTCAAGCCACGATTAAGACCTCGCATCACGGCATCCATCCATGCATCATCCATCACGACATCCCACCCGCCATGTGTCGCAACGTCCATGTCTCAACGACAACGAAGAACCTTGACGAAGACCACCCGCCATCCATCACGGCATCCATCCATGCATCAACGATAACGACTTCACGCCATCCATCAGGACATCAATCACGACATCGATGACGAAGAACCTTGTTAGCTTACAGAGGAAAATGCGGAAATCCATGAGATCCATCACGCCATCCATCCATGCATCATCCATCACGACATCCATCTAACGAAGGCTCTTCCCGAAGACCACCTCCGCTGAAAAACCCTCCGCCATGTTTTTGGGAAAAAAGACCCTGAGCATGCCGATTTACACGCTTGAACGGTTTCATGCCGACAAAACACCGAAAAGCAATATCCTGAATACTTTCAAGGGAATTCGGGGTATTGCTTTTCAATGTTTCGCACATAGAAACGGCGGGTTGGGGGGGGGGGTGGGGGTGGGGGGGATGGGAGGCCCTGGGGGAGGCCCTGGCAAAAGGCCGCTGATGCTCATGATGCTCTTTTTGATGGTGCCCAAAGTGCGGACAAAGAAAGAAAAAGAGAGAAAGGTGAAGGACAACGAGAAAGGTGAACGAGCAGCAGAAACAGAGAGAGAGAGAGAGAGAGCAGGAGCAGGAGCAGGAGCAGGAGCAGGAGCAGGAGCAGGAGCAGGAGCAGGAGCAGGAGCAGGAGCAGGAGCAGGAGCAGGAGCAGGAGCAGGAGCAGGAGCAGGAGCAGGAGCAGGAGCAGGAGCAGGAGCAGGAGCAGGAGCAGGAGCAGGAGCAGGAGCAGGAGCAGGAGCCGGAGCAGGAGCAGGAGCAGGAGCAGGAGCAGGAGCAGGAGCAGGAGCAGGAGCAGGAGCAGGAGCAGGAGCAGGAGCAGGAGCAGCAGCAGCAGCAGCAGCAGCAGCAGCAGCAGCAGCAGCAGCAGCAGCAGCAGCAGCAGCAGCAGCAGCAGCAGCAGCAGCAGCAGCAGGAGCAGGAGCAGGAGCAGGAGCAGGAGCAGGAGCAGGAGCAGGAGCAGGGTGAACAAGAGAGAACGAGAAAGAGAACAGGGAGAGGGAGAGAGAGAGAGAGAGAGATAGAGAGAGAGAGTGAGAGTGAGAGTGAGAATGAGGGAGAGAGAAAGAGAAAACGAAAGAAAGGGAAAGAGAAAGATAAAGGAGAAAGAGAGAGGATAAAGAGAAAGGAGACAGAGAAAGAGAAAGATACAGATAAAGAGAAAGGTGAACGAGAAGGAGAAAGAGCGAGAGGGAGAAAGAGAAGGGGAAGAGAAAGAACAAGAGAAAGCTACCGAGAAAGATGAGCAAAAGAGAGAAAAGAAAGAGAAGTGAGAACAGAGAGACAGAAGTGAGAAAAGAGAGAGCAGAGATAGAGCGCGAGAGAGAGAGAGAGAGAGAGAGAGAGAGAAAGAGAAAGAGCAAGAGAAAGAGAAAGATAACGAGAACGAGAAGAGGAAGAGGAAGAGAAAAAGAGAGAGAGAGAGAGAGACAGTGCGAGACACAGAGAGAGTGCAGACAATAAAGATGAGAAAGGAAGAGGACAAGAGACAGAAGAGGCAGAAGCAACAGAAGAGAGAGAAGAGCTTAGGGCTTAGGCCCTCCCCCTCCCCGCCCCCCTCCCCCCTTCCCCCCTCCCCCCCCCGCCCCCCCGCTCCCGCCCCCCCCCGCTCCCGCCCCCCCCCCTCCCCCCCATCCCCCTCCCAGACCCAAAATACAATGATTCTTGTCCGTACAATGATTCCATCGCACTGCTCCATCATCGTACTTCACGGCACCGATTGAACTTTGACATTGGCCAACTCGAAACGCCCATGCGGACTGGACCGGTTTCTCGAACCCTTGACAAGAAAAAATACAATGTGTTCGCATCACAAAGGGACATGAACTCTGTAAGCTTGTCAACATACTGCAAAATTTTGGGGCATGGAAAAACCACCATTTCATAGTAGTCCATGCGCACCACTGCATTGCCTAGAGCATCTCAAGCCCGAAAGATTCATCCGCGATGCTCGCATGGAGTGCATGGCTCCGTCCACGGCCCGGCTGTGCTGCTCCAGTATAGCCGCCAGCCTCCAACGGCAAGTATGAATCACATCTCGCACAAGCCGGAGGAGTTGCTCATTGCAATACATGCATTTGGGAACATCAGTAGCAAGAGTGTCGACATGGGCACGCCAAGGACGCGCAGCACCATGCAACCAAATGGCTGCTGTTCATGTCTGGCCACCACTTTCAAGACGTCCTGCGATGGCGGACGTTTATTCTTGACAATTGCTGGCCCAAACGCACCTACATATTCTACACTCAAGAATCTGAAGGCCTCCAAACAAGAACGCCTGTCCTCACTTCTATCAACTCTACGGCGCAAACGGGTGGCCTTACAGCTGACATGTTGGCCTGTGCTTCACTGCATCTCCAAGGGCTTAGCTTCGCTACCTTCCCCAGCCAAAGGGCTACCGCAAATGCTTGCACAACCGACTGTTACGCCTCCTGAAGAGTTTCCAGCAAAGACGCCAAGCCCCGGGAGTCCTGCATTCCTTGGGGATAGGCGTCTTGCTGCATTCGGTGAAACAAGTGCGGAAGCACGGACTCTGCCGATTGCATGTCACCACCTGATATGCACTGCGAGTGGCTACATCCCGGCTGTGAGTTTGGTTGTGACGCGTGACTGCCGAAAACATGATAACATGGTGCTGTGGATGCTGTCTGTGATTAGGCACATGAAAATTTTCATGGTTCCGCAGAGGGTTCTTCGAGCCTGAAATGCAGCCGACAAAAACCGAACGACGTGAACACACACAACAAAGAATCTCAACACTGAATAGCGACACTGAAGAATATGACTCCTTGCTTTCAGAATTAGCAGATCAAGCGCTGAACCACGTGATTTGACCATGCTTCCCACTTTCGCCCACCACAAGCTGAGACCACACATATACTGTTCAACCAGAGACATGAGCAACATCGGGTAGCACCTGACCTACAAGGGAGGGGGTTATCACACATCAGGCCGTGAAAATACACATCACCCCAATGCGGACGCAAACGCAAAGAATTACCCATCACGCGAGAGAATACACATCACAAGATACGAAACCCCAATGTGGACGCTATTTTTGGCTGTCAGACACGGAGACCTCAAAATCCACCCAACCTCGCGGACGCTTATGTTTCGGGCCATTTATACATCAATCTGGCATACGTTTTGGCAGCAAATCCCGAAGGAGACGCTGGTTTGTATCAACATACGGAACGTTGATCTTCGAAGCCTTTACTGGCCTTACACACCTGAGACCCGCAGCTGCTCAAGTGCACACTGCCTGCCTGCTGCCTGCTGCATATGTGTCTGGCGGACCAAACCCTGCGACCGAGACCGGTTTTGATATAGAAAAAGTGCATTAGACCAGCTAGCACGGAAACGTCCTGCCAACTGCCTTTAACAAACTTGAAGCCGTGGTGGCAGCTTGGATCAGTGCCAAGTCTTGTCCAAAATGCAAACCCAACCATGGGCATGGGGTGGTTTGCATGCCAGACCCCATTGTGGACGCTGCATAGGCTGAAAACTGGACGGCTAGGATCAGTGCCGGGTCCTGTGCGGGACCTGCAAGACCCCAGTGTGGACGCCGAACGATGTGTATTTACACCACGCGATGTGAGATAACCCCCCCCCCCAGTAGCACCGTTGCCAGATGCCTCTTCTGCGAGCAGCAAGAAAAGGTCTCGGGTCTGAAGTCCGGAGGACAGCGGACAGAACCCGGAATGCAGAAATGCCTCGAAGTTTTCTCACGAGAAGCTTGACTCTCTCGCCGCAGGGATAACCGATGTGACCGGAAGAGAAGTAGGGAAAACCAGAGGAAAGTCTGCGCGCAGCTCATGCCAGCGAATATCTTCCAAGCAATCATCGGGCCAACCCAACAGTGATGGTGAAGAGCCTTGGCTGAGACCGTCCTCGGTGCTGATGAAGCCCAGAACCTGCTCGATGACGGCTTCCAGTCTGAAGCAAGTCTGGGAAAGAACCGAGAATGGAGCAGAGACCGCCATGGAAAGACCTTTCCAGGACGCAGCTTTTGAATCTGAAAAAATCGCACCGGAGTAGGAGCTGGAAGCATCTGAGACATGAGGCGCAGCGTTGGGCCATGAGCTTCCGGCTATGAAGCTTTGGGCTGGCTCGGAGTCGGAAAACCGGGGACAAATTCGAGATGGCTGTCTCGAGTGAAGCAAGCCTGGAAAGCTCGCAGTGCGCCGCAGGGTATAGTATAGGCTTATGGGCGTACAAAGCCACCAACCACCAACACCGGCTCGATCTTGAGATGTGCAGGCATCGGCGAAGGTGTCATGTCCCAACCACAAAGAGCGAAGCGGAGTTTTCGAATTGAGGAGGTCCAGCCAGGACGGGATTGCTATTTTCCGTTTTTTTTTGTTACTTGTGACTTTTGCTTTTGGGTTGCTTCTGCCTTCTTTTTTGGGTTATCTCTGTCTTTTTCTTGGGGTGTCCTCTTGCCGCCTGCCTTACAAAACGGGAATCCGTGGCTTGTGACTTTTCTTCTTCGGTGATTTCTGTCTGTCGTCTTGGGGTCAAGTCTGTCTTTTCTTGTTGCCCTTGTTCTTGTGAATTTAGGGTATCTTGTCTTGGGATTCAGGGTTTGTCCGCCCAGTGTCTTCTTTTAGGGCTTAGGGTTTGTTATCTTCTTTTGGGGGTATCTTCGTTTAGGGTTTAGGGTTTGTCTACCCAGCATCTTCTTTTAGGGTTTGTCATCTTCTTTAGGGTTTAGATTTTTTCCACCCAGCATCTTGTTTTAGGTATTTTTTTGGGGGGGGTGGGGGGGGGGGGGTGATGTCTTGTTTTAGGGTTCAGGGTTTCTTCACCCAGCATCTTCTTCTGGGGCTTAGGTTTTGTTATCTTCCTTTTAGGGTTAAAAGTTTAGGTATCTTGTCTTAGGGTTGAAGGTTCGTCCACCCAGCATCTTCTTTTAGGGATGAGGGTTTCCCATCGTCCTTTAGGGTTTTAAATTTAGGGTATCTTGTTTTAGGGATTCGGGCTTGTCCTCCCAGAATCTTCTTTTAGGGTTTAGGGCTTGTCATCTTCGTTAAGGGTTTGGGGGTTAGGGTATTCCGGGTTTTTAAATTTAAGGTATCTTGCTTTAGGGTTTAGGGTTTGTCCACCCAGCATCTTCAATTAGGGTCAGCATCGTCTTTTAGGGTTTAGGGGTTTTGTTGTTTTGGGGGGTATCTTGTTCTAGAGTTCACGGTTTGTCATCCCAGCATCTTCTTTTAGGGTTTAGGGTTCCTCATAGTCCTGAGATTAAACACCTCAAACAAAGACACAGGTAACCGGACAGGAAGCCTACGTCTGTTGCCAGCGAGCAGGTGAGAACCGAAGCTGGCCCATTGATCGGGAGCTAGAGACGCCACAGCCAGAACTTGCTGCCGTTGTCAGGGGGACGGCAACGGCTTATAATGTTAACCTCACATTTAAAAAACCCCCCCGTAATTAAAGAATTCGGATCCCGGAACTCAATTATAAACCCCTCCTCAATAATAGGAAATCCCGGCCCGGGGACCGATTTTTTTTCTATGGGCCCTTGGGTAGGTCAGGGCTCCTCAATAGGCGGGGCGGTCGGAAACAAAAATCAATTGAGACGGGGGGGGGGTTTATTAATAGGAGGTCAACATTAGGCGCGGAAGAGCCTGGCGAATCAGAGCAGCTTCCCTGTTTGAGCTTCTTCAAGTCCTTGGCGGAGCATTAGTGCGCAGCCTGGAGGAGACCTGTCACGCAGTTTTGAAGCCTTCTCCGCGCCCAGTTGAACAGTGAACGTGGAGAAGTTGAGTTCCCACCCTATCCAGAACAACCATTCTAGCTCCGGGCTTGAAGTCCATCCCTCAAATTTCTTCCAGCTCTGGGGCCTCTGTCATGGTCGTGGTAGCAGTAAGGTTCTCTACAGGACGTATGGTCCGCGACAATCGAGGCGAGGGCGGTGCCAGCGATTGGTTTATTGGGAACCTATATACACCATGCTTGGCTCAGCTCCTGGGCAACTACCAACTTTGAACACCTACGCATGAGCCTCAAGGTTACAGACAACCAGGTGAAACCCTTTTCATGCAGGCTATGCTAATTCTGTGTATGAATAACATGAAAATCCATGAAATGAAGTGCGTCAATCCGACAAGTCTGATTACGTGGGCTTTTGAGAGCATGATTTTTGACCTCAAGCTGCTATCTCCCGCCTGCCATTGCCTTGATGCATCGGCCACTATAAGCATTCGTGAAGCTGCGCGCTAACCTGGAACCTACTGCGGGCCATCTCGTCGAACTACTGCAAGGCCGCAGTCTTGAGGCTTCGAGAAGCTGTACCCGCTCACCCGGCCCAAGCGCTGCCGATGCTTTCGCCGCCCCACCTCTGCTTCTTTGGTTTAGCACAAAATGGTTTGTCCAATGAAAACACCAAGATTCCAAGCCGCGTGTCGATGCTCCTATGTAGCCTGTTGAGTATGGGGAAGGCCGCAACATGCCGCAACGCAGTCTGATTTCTCACTGTGCAAGCCCTCCTTACGATGCACGCTTGAGGGCCACGCGCTCGCGGCATGGTGCCCTGGCACGTCGAACGTGCTCGGATTGGGTCAAAAGTTAACGACCCATACCTGTTGTAATCACAAGATTTTGACATTGCGGGCACACGATTCCCTCCTTACAACAAAAAAGACAGCTTGTAGAAGCCCGTCAACCCGGTCGGCGACACAAGTGGAGCGTGAGGTGCTGGCAAAGCCCTTAGATGAGAGCGCTCATCCACCTTTCATTCTTAACCTCTTCATCCTTCTACGAACCCCAAGGCCGGCTACAAGCAACCTCACTCAGACATGTCCTGAGGCCTGGGCCCGTAACCTGTCGGAGGTGGGTAGCCCCAGCCCTTGCCGCCCCAACCTTCACGTCGCATGTCACGGGCATCATGTGCGCGCTTAACACTCTTAGGCAGCCCTGCCCCATAGCCCCCAACCCCCTCCCCAACAGCCAAAATGCATCAAAATGCAATATACTCGATTATACTCGCGCAACTACTTGCCGATGTCGCCTGGTGCTGGGGGAGGTGGCATCCTGGCGATTAGGGAGTTCTGGGCATTGCGACCTTTTGGAACTTTCTCTGGTGCTACAATACCACTACACAGTGTAAAACAACATTCTTGAAAGTCACGCTCGAAAGCTGGGCCTCGGGGGAGGGCACTGTGCGCCGTAGCTCGGCGGAGGTGGCGCGGCCCCGCTGTACCTCTCTGCTTCTGGCGAGACGAGCTTAAGCGAGAAAAGGAGCACTCCTTTCCGACAAAAGTTTTGCAGCCGCGCGAAGAGCAAGCATAATCAGCCTGCTGCGAGGACGGCTGCTCCAATCACCGGGAGGACCTCAGCTCTGACTTTGAATGACCAAGGATTGAGAATGAGAGCTTTAGCATGTTGGCATTATGGCCTTTAGTCTAAGGGCGGGCCATATTGTTGACATGGTCACATGCTTTGCTGGGCAGCTCCCTTGCAAAATGATCTGTGTACGAGGTTGTGCCAGAATTCGGAAATTTTGGGATGCTCTGAGACGAATCGGTAGCTCTTAGCAACGTGCAGCCTGGCATGTGATAAGATGTCGTATGTCCATTGGACGGCGTAACTATCTCTGAATGGCAATTAATTTATTTGTGCATCATTGCGATCATTTTTTCTTTTCTGCAAAATGCAAATTCTCAGTTGTGTCAATATCACCATTGTCTGCCTGATTATATGTTCGAAAGTTTACAAAGCAAGTATACATTTCATAGACGGCACCAGATGTGAATGCATCAAAGCTTTTGATGCTGATTTGCTTTCCACATGTAAATGGGCATTTTCATTTTGGCATCCTGCCGCCTGAATCGATGGGATACGTGCTACAGCTGGCGCATCGCCTGGATCCTGAGAGGGATTTCCCGGAAAAGGCTGAGTCTCCGAAGTGCCTCAGTGACTGCCATTGTCATTGTACACCGAAGAACCGAGCAATCGCAGGGAGGTTTTTGGGCCGTTGGCCTCTTACCGGTGGGGCTCCAAGCACTGAGGGCAGCTTTGCGGCAGTAAAGCTCAGAAGGGGTGAGGGGACAGTAGATTTAGATGAGCAGAGCGTACGGAGGTATGCCGAAGTGGGGGACGTCAGGAACGAAAGCTAGTGCAGTTGCTCGAGAAGCCGCAGGAGAACAGCGTTGATTGCGGTTGACTACCCGGTGCACGGCCGGCCTACTCCTCGCCGACTCGTATCCCGCCCCACAGCATCGCCAGAGAATCCCTGGCCAGAGCATCCTCCAGAGAACCCCTGGAGCGCCCAGCAGGCGGAGTGCAATCCAATCCCCCAAAAATCCGTCGAGTGCCCAGCCCCAAGACCATCCCTAGACCCAGAGTATCCCCCACAGAATCCTGGAGTGGTTCTGAGAATTTCTGGAGTGTCCAACCTCAGAGTATCCCCAGAGATTATTTTGGAGCGCCCATGTTGAAAGGGGATATCCCAGAACCCCCCCTTGTAGCTCAGGACCCGAACGCCGACCACGAAGCCGATGGCCCAAGCAAGCAGGCTCGAGCTAGGCGGGTCACAGTTGTAAAGTGTATAGACACATCCCAAGCCAATGCTCAGACCTTGAGCACACATCACACAGCATTGTCGTGCTAACAAACCAGCACGAAGCACTTGTGCAGAGCACAGTCACAGATTTGTTGTCGTTGCTAGCGTGTTGAAAAAGGCCGACATCTCAATTCGACAAGCCATGTCCTTCTCTGTCCCATTTGCTGCCGTTCAACCTGCTGGGTCCCCTGCTGGACTTCAGCAGGGTATGAGCCCAAGCGTACAGCTTGATGGCGAGTCTGGAGGACCCGATTATTCGCGACAAGAAGATCAGCAGAGAAGACCACTGGGTGAGCTGCAGTCGCAACTGAATGGTCATGGCTCGGGGGGCATCTCTTTGCCGCCACCAGGATTGGAGTCTCGTCTCGGTGGCGAGTCTCAGGCAATCGCTGGTGCTTCAGCGACCTTGGCATCAGGACCTAGAGGATATGGCAGTGCTGGTTGTGAATCAGTGCCTGTGACTGCAGGGCCGGGCAGGGCCAATACTGCTTCAGTGCATGTGATTGCTGAACAGAGTGGTGAGATGGCCAGTTCTGTGCATGCGATTTCCAATGGTGGCTTGGAACAATTGGGATCAGTGCATGCGATTGGCAGGAACAATGGTGCACCGACTGCGTCAGTGCCTGCGAGTACAGATGGAGGCAGAGCTACAATGGGTTCAGTGCTTGAGAATGCACCCGCCTACAACACTAACACATGTTTGGGGCCTTTGGTTGGAGATGACCGTGCACTACCCATTGCGCCCCGTTCTGCTATACCTTCTGAAGAACGATCGCGCAGGATGGGGCAGGAGCAACATGACGCTATGGCCCGGGATGGGTCCTTCCAGGCACCAACTATGCCTGCTAATCAGATGATGGGTGTAAGCACCGATACCGAAAGGATGAGGTCGGGCCTTCCACAAAATGCCTTGGTGCCATCGCCTTTGCACTGACCATGCTGTGGCCGGGGCAGCGGATAGAGGTGGTTCCAGGGCCTCGATGTGGTTTTCCAGGCTTGGTGATTTCTTTCAGCGACGAGTGGAGGTATCTTGGGGACCTTCAGCAGGGTCTCCTGTGGATAATCCTTGAACCCGGGCGCGGCCGTTGATGCAAGGTCTTCATTTGGGAGGCCACTCACAGGGCCAAGGAGGGGCACACCTCGGTCTGGCAGCTCGCAAGGGCCAAGCCAGGAGCAGATTCAGGCCGAAGTCTCCAAGAAAAGGTGGAAGCCGAACGGAAAAAGACTGAGGAGGCAATGCTCGAGGCCCAGGCTTTGAGACAGAAGCTGCTGGAGATGGAGAGTCGGATGGCTGCAAGGCAGGAGGATCGAGTTGTCAGGGACCTCGGAGTTCCCACAGCAGCTCTTTCGAACCATGCCGTGTCTGGTCCAGAACAGCCTGCAGTGGGGCTTTTCGAGCTTGGGGAGAGGTCGCAGCTGGCTATGAGTCCCGCCTTGGTTAGACAGGGCGATAATGGGGACTTCCCACAGCAACTCTTCCGAATCATCCCGTGTCTGGTCCTGCCGTATATCATCGTGATGTACCACAACTTCCAAGGGCAATTTATGGCAATTTTCAACCTTACGGTTGGTAAACGTCTCGTCCAGCCCTCAGAGGCTTTCGTTCCGAGCAGCCGCAGTCAGTGTGGAGCGAGCAGAAGCTGGAGAAGTCCGCGGTGCGATGGCAGCTCGATCAAAGGAAAAATGAGCAGGTTCCCGATGTGTTCCAGCGCACCAACAAGCCGCACAGAATGTGAATTGACATATTCATTGGATGTGCTCGTCTCACAACTTCCCATCGTACGCTATTGACATGGGTCTGCTTGCTACGCACAGATTGCTGAATATTGAAGATTCATGCCAAAATGCTCAATCCGATTCCCAATGGCAGGATACACTTCATATGGGCCGGCAAGCCCGGCGCCACGCGTGCACGTAGATCAGATGAGATAGGCCCTGGGCCTTTCCGAGGAGTGGCGTGTGTATTAACATTAGCGCGTCGCGACAAAGCAAAGGACCAGATGCTGAAGCTTTGTGGTAAGTGCCAGGTCCCTTTCATTGTTGAGAATGCAGATTCTGGCATGCAGCATTTCGTTCGCTCTTCGCAACCATCTTGAGACACGTTGGACTGCCTGGGTGCAACATGGGGCAGGCCGCCAGACTATTGAACAAGTTTGTTCAACTTGATTCCTCGCATCCTTCTGCAACACCCATGATGGACCCTTCCGGACGCTTCTTGCACAGCTTTTTCAGCGGCTGTGCGCTGCAATACGGACTTGACCAGAGCACCGCTTTGTGGCTAAGGGAGCATCATCGTTTACGCTGTGTGCTGTACATTTTTGCGTTGCCACGGAAGAGCTTGCACTCCCCTCTTGGCCAGCTTCGATACTAAACCGCGCTTGCAGTGAGAAAACCTGGCTGAGTGAGCAGCGAATGGCTCAGATACAAAACAAACACAGCGGCAGACATCGCACAGCTTCCCAACCACTCACAAACTCGTATCCAACAGCCATGGGCACCACTGCAGTTCAGGTTCGAGCCGTCAACCATTGCCCAGGAGGGCAGCGGCGCCTCCTGCACAAGCAGGCCCAAGTCCCCAAGTGCAGCTCCAACCGTCTTTTCCTTTCACTAGGCCAAAATCTCAACTGCCAAACGGCTCTGCATTCACCTCTTTGTGAAACCTAGTATAACCTAGTAACTCACGCAAAGAATGATTTCTCGTCTCTAGTGGAGTGACGAAGTTTCATGAGATCTTGCCTCACGTAAATGATGTAAATATGAAGATGTCATGTGAAGCACTTGGAGTTTCACAGGTAGACTCGTAGTCTGTGATCTTGCAAAACTGCTTGGAAGTCGCCACCTGATGTAAAACAGAGAAGGCAATGCTGGCTGCTAGAAGGCATAGCGCTGTACGCATCTTCGGCCGACCTGCAACCAGGCATATGCCGAAGAGTATTCCAGCCTCTTTTGTGGAAGCCCTCTCCTTCTAAAGTTTCGGGCAAAGACCGGGCCTTAAATTATAGTCGACTGCCAGGGCCCACCCCATTATCTTCAGAAGCTCGTGGCAACTGAACAGAGGGTGCAACGTAAAGTGCGGACCAAGACGTGTCCCGGAGCGATCTTAGCGATCTCTGGAGCTGCCGAACCTCACGTACTTCTCGCTGCGGAGGCTCCGCCATTCGTGGACTGCCTGGAGAGGCTTTGTTACCCAAGGTGCCAAAGATCCCCCACATCCCCAACCTGCCCCCCCCCCCCCCGGTGCGGCCTCTGGCTTGCTCTAGCTTCCCGGACTTCAGAGGTGTTGTTTTCTTCATTTTCTTCTCGCCCCCCAACCCCCTCCTTTCTGGGCATTGCCGACCTGGTGCTGGTGGCCGTGCCCAGGCTGGGAGGGGCTCTGGCCTGGGACAACACGAAGAATGTGTCACTTTGAACCCCATGCTGCAACTGACTTGCAAAGCTTGCCATTGACTCTGCCCTTCTCTCAACCTGCCAAAGAGAAGCATCTGTGAAGCTCGGCGATACATTTTCTGCCGTTTGGTCCGACCTAGCCGTCCAAGAATGGCTTTGTCATGGCCAAGATCGTCGCTCTGGCGTCCGCGGCGGTGGGGCTGCCTGCTCCACAAATGGGCTTTCAGCCATCTAAGTGCTTGGGATGAACCTCGCTCAACCGAAGCAGGGCTTGCCTGCCCCCCCCCCCATCCCCTGGCTGTAAGTATCTGCAAGCAAATTGCCGGATGTTGCTATCACGGATCACTGCGCCAGAGCCTTATGGATCTTGAACTCAACTGACGGTGTCCCGACCGTTTCATGGTGTTGGACTCGGATATGCAGGGGTCTGAATCCGAAATATTGATCTCAGGGAGCCTTCGAGAAGGGGAGATGCTATACGGAAGAGACATCGCCTCGAAGTGCAGTTGGCGCAGCTCCCTTCTTCCAGTACTTTACAACTGGACAAATGGGAAAGTTGATGGCCTCACTGTGACGAAGGGCATGGGTCCAGGAGGCTGCATCACCTTCGGAACTGCGACTGCTTCACCCTTGGCGGATGGTAGCATCTCCATGCAGCATGCCATGCTAAATGGGTCATACTCCATGTCACTTTATCCGAGAATGTCAAGGCCTAGAACATGAGCGATAGATTCCGAGAGATGTGTATTTGCGTATTTACTGTGTATTTTGGCGGCTTAGGAAACCCTTTGGCCTTGTGGAGAGGCACGAGGCCCCAGGGAGCTGAACCTGTGCGGGTCAAGGCAGGGCTCTCCGGAGACTCCAGACACCCCACCAAGATCTGCAGATCTTTACCTGCGTTTCGTCACCTTTTTGCCGTCACAGAGAGTCAAACAACAGCAGAAGGGGTTTTTCAAACAAACAGTGTAGGGCGCTGTCCGGTGTTATTTGGCGTTAGCGGTAGCCTCTGAAACACATTTGGATGTTTTCCGCCGTCAAAAGTCCTGCGCCCCACCTCCCGCGTTCCCTTGCCACCCCCCCCCCCCAGCCTTCAAGGCCCGCTGGCCCTCCCACCCCTACCCTACGCCTTCAAGCCCCACCCCACCCCCACGCCCGCCCTCGTTCTTGAAAAGAAATCTTTTAAGGGCCAATGCATGCCCAAACCTCCCGCCCCCCCCCCCGCTCCCCCTGCTCCCCCCCGCCCCCGCCCCCCGCCCCACCCGCCCGCCCCTCCCCAAGGCCCGCTGCCTAGCCTTCAAGCCCCACCCCATCCCCTTCTTGTCTGTTAAGGGCACCCATGCATGCCTAAACCCCCGCTGCTCCCCCCGCCCCCCCCCGCTCCCCCCCAAAAATGACCTACCGTTCTAGGGCGCTGGTTCTGAGACCACACCCTACCATATATAGCCACCTCATCCACTCCATCACCTTGCCATCTCCTTCATTCCTGCCTTCATCGTCACCTCATCCATTATCTCATTCTTTGTCATCTCCTTCATTCCTTTCTCTCACCAATATCTCACATGGTCACCTGCTTTGTTTTCCATCATCGTTTTTTTTAAGTATTTATAAGTTCACTTTTTTCATGTCTTGACATTGTCACCTAATTCGTTTTCATCCTTCATCATATCGCCTTACCCGTTTTTGGGACGAGCCCACCTCAAGCGTTTTACCAAAGATTTATAATAATTTAATATTATAATACCTATTTGTTTCATTTTTTAATCCTGATCTCTATAAAAGAAGTCATTTAAATGTTCTTGCAACTCGTTAATATTTAGATATCTAATATCTTTGCCAATAAAATTAATGAGAAACTCATACATAATGTATTTAAATACAACTTTATCAGGATATGTTTTCTTATAATAACTACAATGAAAGATTAAAATATTTCCATAATATGTAATTCTACGCATTAGTTTTTGATTATGAAGAAGATCTAAACGGAATCAAAATTATCAAAAAACCTAGTTCGTTTGTTCTTTATAAAAGATATAATTACTTTCTTGTATGGATTATCACTAAACTCAAACATTTTTACTAATTTTCGAGTTTTCGTTTCTACATCATCTCCAGCAAAATATACATCAATATTATCGCTTTCTTTTAATATAAAGTTGTTTTTCAGAAGTTGTTAGATAATCTTTCTCACTTTCAATAAATGGGTAATTATCCTCTAGGTTCATAAGACGATTGCAACTGCTACAACAACAATTAAATGATTGTATAAAATCTGCTATTGGTTCTTTTGATATTTTATTTAAGGTTTCCTTATTCTGTTGTGTCCGCATATACTTGCACTCTTGACACTTGCTATAGTCAAAGACAGTCATACTCCCTACTACAGTACTTTAAGGCGTTTTATCTTGAAGTAGTTTAGTAGTCATTTATTCACCAGCAATATTTCATGACGCATGTAACGCTTACTAAGTCCTTCAATAACATAATATTTATTCAGTTGTGGGTTTCTATTAACTTCCTTCACTTCATATACTTTCTCAGACCATT